GGAAGGGGCCGCATGTTCCTCCTGACCCTAGAGGAGAGGAAAGGTCGGGAGGCCGAATTCTGGAGTCTCTCCCTGGTGCCTATGGCCTTGCTTCCCCAGGCAGGGCGGTGGGGGAGCTGTATGAATATATATGTGTGTATGGGAAGGTGGTGGTAATTTTGAATAAACGGGATGTTTGTCAGTCTCCAATCGTAAAGGTAACTTAAATTGCCCCTTGGAGTTCCTCTTCTGCTTTTCTTGGGTAAATTTGTAACCAACATTAACTGATAGCAGTCTTCCATGTGTATAAAAACCGTTTTGAATTAAAATACTCTAGTCTTTGGAAGGAAAGAGCCGGAAGCTGTGTTGATGAATAAGTAAAGATTTCTTTGGAGTATTTTTGGCCAGGAGGAAACTGTTGGATGTTTTATTAAAAAACATCCTTAAATGCTTGGGATATTTCCATAAAACTAAGTTGTATAGGGTGTTTTTAACTGATCTCACTTAATTTCTGTGCACGTCAATGGTCTTGTAATACATTTTCCTTTTGATTTCTTGCTGTTCAGCCTAAAGCTATTTGTGTTTATAAAACTTGACGCAACCCATTTGTTTAGTAGGGTGTGTGTATATTCATCTGTATTCTGGTTTTCTTTCTATGCAGCTGGATTGAAAATCATCTGGAGGAGAAACGCAAATTTCACATGTGACGCTGTTCACTTCAGAATTAAGTTCATTCAAGACAGATAACTCATTTAATTCTATATGTTTGTAATTTCATTTAGACTGCTAAATACAGACCATGCCTAGCAGAATGGGCTCAAAAATTGATTTGAACAAAGACTTCATCAGAGTAAAAACACACTATAGTGGGTAAGTCAGCATGTTCTCTCCTCTATATTGTATCCTGTCTAACTTTGAAACACATTGAGCAGGAGTTCATAGTCTGACCTAGTGATAGAGTAACCAGGGCATTGGTGGATTTGTAATTAATGTCAGATCAGATAGGTAAACTTCTGGGCTATTAAAATACTATCCAGACTCCTGCAGCATGCTGACTGTGGGATGATAGTTTCTTATCTTGAAAGGGGGGAAAATGTGCAAAACTGGCATACAGTTATTCTGGGTTGATGGCTTATTGATTTCTGTTTTGTTACAAGTGTTCGTGATCGCAGACAGGTATAGATCCATCTCTTGCATCCAGGTGCAGTTATTACATTTTATTGTATCTACTTTATGATAAAGATATGATAAGTCTTACATAATGAATGCTACAAGTTACTGCTGAAATTAGGAGGAGGCTATGAAGTGCAGGTTTCCACTTACAGATATCAGTTTGTGACTGTGTGCTCCTTGGGACAAAACATGTAATATTTAATGAGTCCTTTTCTAGCAGGAATTTTTAGATACTATTTTAACTTACAGTACTTTCTGTCTTGGAAAATTAGAGGAGCTGTTTCTTTGTGGGTAGATATGTAAGTCTTGAAATAATAAGTGGGTGCCATTGGCTTTGTCCTTCTTTCTTTGTCTTATAGAAATTTTACAAGGAATTATTATTGGAATTATTTAGGTAAATATGAGAAATGAGGGAATCTTGCTTAGATCGCAAGTTATCAGTGAATTTAGATGAACCTATGCAGGCTGCTTGAAGACTCAGTTTTAAGTGATTAAAAAAAAAAATCAAATCCACAATCTTTGTTTTCCTGTTGTGAATAAATACTAAAAGTAAACTCCTGTATAGTTTGCCCTTTAGTTTTTGATAGCTGATTCCCCCTGCTCCCCTCCCAGTAATTTGACTAATGCAGCTTGAAGGGCAATGAGATGTTAACACAGCTGCTTCAGTTATCTTCACAATGCTTATTTTTGCAGCTCTGATTTAAGACAATAATTAAAAAAAAAAAATCATGGTCCTTTATGACTTCAGTCAGTTGTCAGCAGAGTCAGGAAGATTTTATTGCTTCAACATGGAATTTGGTTCTTCAGATGTGTTTAATTGGTTTGCTACCACTGTGAGGACTTTGTAAATGATTGTTGCTTTGGTCTCTCCTGTCTTCCTCCAAGGCCTAAGTTTGAGGAGTTAAATATTTGGCTACTTGATTTGAAGTATTTAGACTGAACTTACTGGCATTTGATAAGTGACCTGAGTCATCTTTTCTGATGTTTTACTGCTAAATAAGTAAATGTTGCTACTACTGTGGTTGTTCTTATATTGTGGTGTAGGAAAAATGTTATTTTGAATTAAATGTGATGTAATTATGAAAGTCACTCCACCAAATTTTATTGAAAACAAAATGCTTTCTTGTTAAACTTATCTACCAGGTCAATGCCAAGTAGTTTGAGGTCCTGAGTTTAGAATTGTAGAGTGATTGTATTAATTTGGTAAATGCCAGTTTTCTCATAAATTAGCATGAAAATGTATCTGTTTTTACTTTAGCTGGCTTCAATTTCTAGCTGTGCTGCTGACTTTAATTCTTCCCTTATGCCTACTCATTTCATTTTATGTCTTCGCTTTGCCACCTGTAAATTGAAAGTCTAGTAGAATCTGTTAATTTATGGTTCATTTATCTACAGGTTAAATTTTCGTATGAAAATTTGCCTAGTAAAACATAGATAAGCTTTTAGTGGTGAGAATTCACGTCAAAACTTACGTCTTAACAAAACATAGAAGTCTGTTACTTTACTTGAAGTAAAATTTACTTTACAAGAAATCCATGTATGAAAGTAAATGGGACTGCATGCTGTGGTTCATTGTTACTGCTGCTCAGTAATTTCTGAAATGTGTTCGAAATAGTTAATGCAGATCAATTGGGTTTTGTTATCGTTAATCTGCACCATGGTTTTGGTTATTTAATGCATGTAAACTGCTTTATGAACTCTGGGTGAAAGATTTGTACCATATATTTGCCATTACTAATAACTATTTTCTGCTCTATAGTTTTACCCTACACCTCTGAATCATGTCATACATAGGCTTAAGTTGAGAAGAACATCTGAACTTCAAATACTTGTGTGATGCATTTCTCTGAGATGCATGGATATGCATGCTTCTCTGAAAGAGCAGTAGGAGAGCAGCCTTAGCTCTGTAAGGGAAGGCACTATAAACACAAATAGAACTTAGTGTATTTGGGATAGCTTGCTGGCAAATAGTGTTGAAGGGATTGTGTCTGTAGAACTTGCCTGCACAGAAATGGAGGAAGTGATAATGCTTGTGTCCCTATTAGAATTCGTGTGTAATTATTACGATGTTTTACAATAAGCTACTACTGTAGTTTCTCCTGCAACACTATATTCAGTAATTTCCATTAGCTGTGAAGTCTGTAATATGTCAATTTACAAAACAACGCGTTCCCAACTCAATGAATTTTGTTTGATCAAATTCTGTGAGTAAGAGCTGACTGTTTTTGGCATTATAGACTGTACAACTGATTATCTCCGTATCTCCATTAAAGTACTACACTCATCTTTTGAACAAATTTGGCAAACTGCAGGAAATCATTGATGCTGGACAATTTTAGAATTAAGGACAAGCTCACTCAGGTAGCTGCTAAGAAAGTAAAATAATAGTACAATATATCATTTTGAAATCCCAGTTAAAAATCTGAGCATGAGGAAGTTGTAAAACACTTGAATGAGTCTATCTCTGTGGAGTCCTAGTATCTTAGGTATTCACATTTCTGGGTGTGACAGAGTTCCTAACATAGCATAGTATAAATAACTGCATAAGTAGATTGAAAAAGAAAGTAAACTTGTATAATCCTCATTTTGTTATTTCAGTTACTTAATCTGGTTTATACCTGGTTTCTTGAAATCAATTCATTTACATACAGTGATGCGTTTATTGTTATAAGTTATTCGTGCATATAATTTAAAATGTAAGTCGTAGAATTTAAGGTTCTTAGTTCAGCGTAGTACCTTTCGGCTTCTGGTTGAAAGATATAAGTAGGCAAAATATGTAATATAATGTGTTTTCTAAAATGACTTGTCATACAGTATGAAAATAGGAAAACTAGCTCAGTCATGTTGGGAAACTTCTGGTATACTTACTGTATTAAACTAAGAGGGGAAAGAATTACATATGCCAGTAGCCCTTAACTACAAAACTGTTTCCTTATTATCCCCTAGAAAGTTTTGAAAGCACTGAGATGACTTAAGTACATCTTCTCTTTCATCCTGCACTTGTTTAATCAGTTAGTTTCCTTGAGTCCGTCATTTGAAAAATATTTAGAAAATGGGATAAAGTCTAGTTTGTATCCTCGGATTTTTGTTTTGCATAATCTTTTCTTTTTTTAAAAAAATCTTTGTCCTGCTTTGACAGTACTGTGTGGGCTTTCATTATATCAAGAGTTATTCTCACAAGTGCCTGAGCATACCGTATGGTTTACATTAGCAGAGTTCAGTTCTCAAAACATGTTCATGTTCTCAAAATGCTATAAAGGTAAAGCACAAGATGCAGAATTTGAGTAAGATTTTATCTAAATTTTCTTGTAACGATTTTTTTTGAGAATTCACCTAATCAAAGCTTTTTCTCTAACGATATAGTGGATGTGAGGAAAACCCTACATTTTAAAATTATTTTACAATAATTGAGATTTTATCTCCTGATGGAAGAATTACCTGGATAAAATTTAATTCTTACAAAATCTTATGTTTTTTTACAACACTTCAAATGCTGATAGTTATAATAAGGGAACTTGACTCACCCAAGTAAACATGCATTAGAGATACATCATTAACACAGTTAATTCCTCCATACTAAAGTATTTTTAAAAAGTTAAACACTGAGATGTAATCCTATTGACTTCTGGCAACTAATTTACATTAATGGGAGCAGTTTATATGAGGAATGCTGATTCTGTAAGTATGATTTTGCAACTTAGAGTCCATAAATGGAATTGTTGGAATATGCAGGCTAATGCAGATATTTTCTGATAAAGCTTATGTTTTCATCTCGTACAGGGACATCCTGATAACAAACTTGGATGCATCAATGAGCTATGATGAACTTTGTGATGAAGTGCATGAGATGTGCAATTTACAACAGGAACAGCCAATTACCCTCAAGTGGATTGATGATGAAGGTATTGTACTGAAATACTACTCTTGGGTAGTAGTATACTCTTGGGCATTCTTAGGTTTATTGTTCATTGTGGCACAAAGAAGGGTCATTGAGGAAACTTGTTTAAACAAGTTTCATATTGTGGAGTTACTTTTCATTTCTAAATACCAGGGTACATAACCCTGTCTTAGAAAGCAGGGAGCTTCGAGAAGTGAGCCTCAAAGCATCGAGGCTGATTGCAGTAGCGCTTGAGTTTACTTCTGTAGAAGTAAAGGCTTTGCAGAACTTTAATATTTTACTATTCCATGCTTCTATGCTGAATGCAAAGTTTGTTTTAATTTCAGACTTTCATAGGCCTAATGCTGTACCCCTCAAAATTCTCAATTTCAAATTCTTGGCAAGATCACTTTTTGATGTTTTATCTCATTGTTCTAAGTTATCTTCAGTTGTAAAGCAGTCTTATTATTCTTCCACAAGTAGCTGTATGTGAGAGAAACTTACCTTTTCTTTACCCTTCTTATAGGCTCTGAAATATCGGCATGATGTGAGATGGGTTTGCATATTTCTTTCTGCTGCAAAATGTGGCAGTTCTCTGCAAGCCTTAAGTTAGAGTCTTCTGGTTGTTGTGAGTAGTAGTGAAATGGGGATACTTGACACTTGAGTGCCTCTGGTACTTTTTTGTTTCCTTTTGGAATGTATGTGTCTGCTTATGATTTAACAGGAGTGTAGTGCATCTGTAACTCATGATGGGCAGAACTCTTGACCCTAGTAGGTTGAGAACAGCTACCATGCAATTATACAACTGCACAGGTGCTTGGTTATTTTCCTGTTGCACCTCGCCAAAGCCATGGTGTGCAGCAGAACTCCTAGAACTGAATGCAGAAAGGTGAAAAAATACTAAATTGGTTTGGCTAACATTTGTAATTGTGTTTTGTTTTTTTTACTAATGGCCTATACTACTCTCTTAGCCAAGTAAGAGAGTTTGGTGGGTGAATGGAATTGCAAAATAATGATTGAGGAAGGAGGTAGCCTGTAGTCAAAGAAGATTCAATCCTTTTAAGATACCAAGGACTAATATAAATTATTTTTAAATTTTACTCTTTATCTTCTGATTACCAAGAAAGACAGAGGCAACCTGTGCTGACTTCAGTTTCCTAACCCTCAGTTTCATGGCAATCTAATAAAAAGTAACCTGATCAGAAGTGCATGGAGAATAATTACATTGCATGTGCTTAGCTATTTGAGCTGCGTGGCTGCTAATAAAAGGAAGATTATTGTAGGAAAGTAGAAAACCTCATGAGTTTTGAGTTGGAGGATTTTAAGACGTGATTCGCATTAACGGTTTCTTGGCTTGGATATCTATTGCATTGGCTTTTTGAGGTTTACTTAATTTAAAACAACAAATATCTATTTTTGGTTGCAGTTCTATTAACCATTTTCTTCTAGTCTTGGTTAAATACATACCTGTACAACCCTTTTTCTAAGTTGTTAAATTTCAACCAATCTGCTGTTTTGGCTGCCCTCAATCCTCACAGGTTTTATGAGTTATCCTACTTCTGCATATGAGTGAGTGTTTCCACTTATTGCCACAGGTAATTTAAATTCATTTGACTGATTGCACAAACAGATGTTCTCTTTGAACTAACTTAAAGCAAACAATTGCTGATGGCTTAATGGATAAAGAAAACCTGCCAAAGAGCTGAAGAAAATGAATTTTCTTTTGGGCTTTCTTAGTGTTTCTCTGTTTTTGAGAAGATCCAAAATATTTGAACTATGAATAACTCATAATAAAATCCCATAAACATGTAAGGAATATGGGTTGTTAATTTGCAATACAAATACTTCTTTTGTTTTTCGTGTTGCATTATTACAGTATTTATAGATCGTCAAGAGCAGTGGTCTGTAAAGAGGGGTAGATGCACTCTAGGGCGCATCTTTTTAAAAAATAAGAATACTTTTAAAAAATTAAGCTTTACTTGATTTAACATGTGGATCAACACTGGTGTTGTCACTTGGCCCATATATCATACAGTCACCTGTCACATATGGTGGGCAAGGTGTGCTGAGGGAGGACTGGGTGTTCCACAAAGTTGCGGGGGTTGAGAGTGACACCCTTATTCATTCGCTTGCTTTCAGTGTATTGTGACGTACTGCAGTTTACGTGTGCCTGGTTAAGTGGATTTATGGATTAATTATCTAGTTTCAACTAAAATAACCCTCACAAGATAATGCTAATAATGTGAGCGCAAGCAGACAACAAGAAAATGGTGGAGCTGACACTTCTCCTACTCCTAAGTATGAACTCTGTCAGCCACACTACAGGGTAAAAACAATGCCTATCTAATCAGATCTGACAAGAAGTCAGTCAAAAAGATTCAAAATTATTAAGAACAGTATTTGAAGTACGGGTTTACATCCACTAGTTTAATGATGAACCTCACCCTAAGTGTATGCTGTGTTTTGAGATGATAGATGATTATAGTATGCAGCCATCATGATTAGCAAGACAGTTAAAAACTAAGTATCCAGAGCAAGAAGACAAACCTCTACCTCTTTTTTTTTACTGATGCTTTAAGTCTTGTGATACTCAATTTGGTATTTTACAAAACTTTATTAAACTTCTAGAAACCAGTTTTGAGGCTTCTTAATAGCAGAAGACAAGAAGCCACATACCATTGGGGAAAGACTTGTTCTTCCTGTCATGGTAAATATGGCTGGAATAATATACAAAAAACAAGATGGGACAAATGGAAATGTATTCCTTTGTCAGAAAATGCTGTTGGAAGATGCATAGAAGATATTGCTGAAGGTTTGAAGAAACAAGTATTATAACAAACTATGCAGTGTGGGAAGCTTGCTATATGGTTGGATGAAAGGACAGATGTTTTTAACGTGTCTCAGCTTATGGTATTTCCTAGATTCTGTTTCAATAATGAGATATGTGAACATGTAGTTTTTTGAGTCACTGAAAGAAAGAAAGATGTACTGGAAAAGATACAATCTCAACAGTAAATGACTTTAATAATAACAATGTGTTACAGAAAAGCTATGTAAGTCTCCACTGATGGAGAGGCTGATTTGACTGGAATAAAAAAAAAGAATTCTGGGGTAAGGTTACAGAAAGCACCACACATGAAATTCATCCACTGTGTCATTCGTAGACAAGCTATTACAGCAAAGGATTTGGAGCCAGAAGTGCACGGAGTGCTACAGGATGTCATGACTATGATTAGTTTTATAAAACCAAGAGCTTTAGATAGTACAATGTTTACAATACCTAGTAATAAGTTGGAAAGTGACCATGAAACTTTTGTACCTTGCAGAGGTTAGCTGGTTGTCTTGTAGCAAAGTGCTTAAAGGAGTTGTTAAAGATGAGTTATGCATTTTTCTTTTACAAAAAGATAAAGTCCACATATTTGGAACATTTATCTGTGATAAGTGGCTGTCAGTAGTATACTACCTAGCAGTTATTTTCAAAACAAACAAAAAACCCCAAAACCACTTAATCCCAATGACTGACAAAGTAACTGCTTTTCAAAAGGGACTCGTGCTATATGGAGAGAGCATTTTGAAAATGGCTATTTGGAGATATTTCTGTTGTTCCATGGGTAACTTAAACTTGGAAATGGAATTTTCTAACCTGTTAAACTTTCAGTGAATAAATTTTTCCTAATACCCAATCTAAATCTCCCCTGGTGCAACTGGAGGCCATTTCCTCTTATCCTATCGCTTGTTACTTGGGAGAAGAGACCGACACCCACCTTGCTACAACCTCCTTTCAGGTAGTGGTAGAGAGTGATAAAGTCTCCCCTCAGCCTCCTTTTTTCTAGACTAAACAACCACAGTTCCCTCAGCTGCTCCTCATACAGACACGTGCTCTAGACCCTTCACCAGCTTCGTTGCCCTTCTTTGGATGTGCTACAGCACCCCAATGTCTTTCTTGTAGTGAGGGGCCCAAAACCGAACATAGTATTCGAGGTGTGGCCTCACCAGGGCTGAATACAGGGGCATGACCACTTCCCTAGTCCTGCTGGCCACAGTATTTCTCATACAAGCCAGGATGCTATTGGCCTTCTTGACCACCTGGGTACACTGCTGGCTCATATTCAGCCAGCTGTTGACCAACACTGCCAGGTCCTTTTTTGCTGGGCAACTTTCCATGGGATTGTTGTGACCCAGGTGCAGGACCCAGCACTTGGCCTTGCTGAGTCTCATACAGTTGGCCTTGGCCCATTGATCCAGCCTGTCCAGGTCCCTCTGTAGAGCCTTCCTACCCTCAAGCAGATTGATACTCCTGCCTAACTTGGTGTCGCCTGCAGACTTACTGAGGGTGCGCTTAATCCCCTCAAACGGAACTGGCCCCAGAACTGAGCCCTGGGGAACACCACTCGTGACCGGCCGCCAACTGGATTGAACTCCATTCACCACAACTCTTTGGGCCCGGTCATCCAGACAGTTTTTTACCCAGCAAAGAGTATGTCCGTCCAAGCCATGAGCAGCCAGTTTCTCTGGGAGAATGCTGTGGGAAACAGTGTCAAAGGCTTTAGTAAAGTCTAGGTGATGAAAAGTTACTAACTGAATGCCAACAAAGCCTTTGCGTAAATGGTGGATGGGACTGAAGAATGAGTATTATGATTTAGTAAGCGCAGCCAATGATGCACTTCTTTCATTTGGATCTACGTATCTTTGAGGTATCTCTTTTTTTAGCTACGACACCATTAAAACCTGGTATTGAAATAAACTGAGCCTAGAACCAGACCTTTGAATCACTATATCATAAAATGTTAAACCAAGATTTTCAAAAGTCATGAAGCATGTTCAATCACATAGTTCTCACTAAAAATATTTTTAATTAATTTTTAATATTTGGAGAGGTAAGTTTTTGTACCATTAATAAAAATATTTTACAGATTTTTATATTTATCTCATCCTTTTAAAGTTTCTATCTTTGTGTATGTTTTTATAATATATATAATTTATAAATACACATATTAGGGGTTTGTGCTCAAAAAATTTTAATAATGGGATGTGCTGTCAAAACAATTGAGACACCACTGATCTAGAGGTTATCATGAGTTGTTAAAACAGTATTTCTGTCTACCAGAAAGGTATTCCTGTGTTACCTTCCAATTCAGATGTTTAAGTAAAAATGTCCTCGCTTAAACTGATTAGGATTTATACCTTGGAGAGGACATCTTCTGAAATACAGATCTCGGTAATGCGTGTGTTCTGGCTTAGCTTCTAGTTCTCCCAAGAAGCTTTTCCAGTGCTTTGTTTCTCTGACACCAAGAAATTAATTCAGTAGGGTTTCTATGAAACATCACCAATATGTCATATCATTACTTCCAAATCATACTGGAGTCCGTTCTGTTAGCTGAGAAGAGCAGTCTTTGGGCTGTCTCTCTTTCAGAGAAATTGAGTTCTTTATTTTCACTGCTTAAAGGCTAAAATCCACATCACAGTAGTTTCTTAGTCTTCCCAATCTTAACTAGTTAATAATGTTTTTGGGATACTCTTGTCTGACTGAATACTTACATTCCTGCATATTTTCTTATTTTAAAACTAATGGTATACGTCACAGATAAATGGTAATAAGGTGTGGATAAGGCATGGTACTTGAGCCCAGGCCTTAGTGTGTGGTAATGCTTGTGTGTCCATTTATTTTATTCTTTTCCCTATGAATTTCATCCTGAATGATAATCTTGTAGTTTGGGGTGTGGGGAGTTTTCTGGTTTATCTATTTCAATAGTTAGGCTCTTTAGAATATGCTTTAAATTGCGACTGGCATGTTGCCTTTTTGAGAACTTTTAAAAGCTTTGTTTGTTGAATCTGATACTATAGAATGCAAGTACAGAAGACAAAGTCATAGAAATTGAGGCTTGATACATCTTTTTCTGAAAGAGCGAGGATTGTTTGTGGCTAGGAGGTTTCGTGATTTTTTTTTTTCTTCTGTTTGCTTGTCTTCTACTTCTAAATCTAAGTTAAAAGAAAAAATGTGAACCTATTTTCCTCAAAATACAAGCCAACCCTGAAAATTTTAGAGACTTTCAGAGAGAAATTAATTTTACATTAATTATATTTCTACATCAGAAATATAGATGTGTTGACATATTTGTATCCCATCCGTCACTTTCATTTGTGTATCTTATTTTTTACACTTTTTAATCATAGATTGCTTTTCTGTCAGTCTAGCAAGAGAGACTCAACTAGAATCTATGTGTACCTTCATAACTTTTAAGTTATCGTATCATGGTTCTGCAGTCAAGGAAGTTAAGGTAGTAAGATAATGGGCCTTTTAGAAAAGGGTGAATTAATTTTGAAGTAAACAAATTTTCAGGTTACTAGGAAGTGATCTTGCTTTTTTCTGCTGTGTGTTAAAGATCTTTAAGCATATCTATTAACTTTTGTATTTTGTTGTCCCCTTGCAAACCAACATAGGATATTTCTATCTACTCAGTTTTGATAAAATTAGAAGGGGAAAAAAATGGTGTTGATATATTTTGGCTTTGATCAAAATGCCAGCTTAATATCAAATGATTGGAAGAAAAGCAATCCTGGAGGCTGGTACATTTCTTACTGACTAATTGAAATTCTCCACTTAATTCTTCGGTCATAAATTTGCCTATATATTGCTTTTTTATTAGGTGACCCATGTACCATCTCATCTCAGATGGAACTGGAAGAAGCCTTCCGTTTGTATTGTCAAAACAGAGACGAAGGGCTGATTATTCATGGCAAGTATTACACAGTTCAAGAACCTGTATGCATTTGTTGATAGTCCTAACAGCTTCTTAAATGTGAGATTGGAACAACTCCTTTGCCTGTCAAATAACATTCTTCTCTATGTAGCTGGTGCCCTATAGTTTGATGTTGTAAGAAGGAAGTGTTCTTTTGGGGGTGGAGCCCAAAGCTGAAACTATATATACGGTAGGCTTCGAGGGGGCTTCAAGTTCCAAACTGCACAGATTTGTTAATGCTGTAGTCAAGTATAAGATCTTGCCAGTACGGACCCAAATTTTGATTGTTACTTCTCACACAGAATTATTTAAAGGCTTCCAGAAACTGTGTAAATATATTCAAGAATCAAGGAAAAAGTACTAAGATGAGAATTTTTTAACTTAAAAATCTCATGTTTTTGTTTTAGTTTTCCCAAGTATTCCAGAGAAACCCGGCATGCCTTGTCCAGGAGAAGACAGTGAGTACTAAAATGTTATCAAATTTTAGCTTCATTTTTTCAGTCACATGGAAAAGAAATATATCAAAAGATTTTCATAAGCTAGTGTTACATACATGTGTACCTGTTTTGTGGTTTCTTAATAGAATGTAAAATGTTTGATATTTTATCAACGGAGAAATTATATGAATCAACATTGTAGTACTGTTTTTATGTTTCTGAGGATTAATACTGGTTTCCAGTAGCTGATATATTGGGAGGAAAAGAGGTCAGGATTTTAGATGCATATTTGAATGTGGTCCGTTGCTTTTGTTGTTCTTTTGGTTTCTTAACTTGCAGGGAAAATAAGTGATGCACTGAAGAAGAGGGCGATACAGCCTTTTCTTATGAAAAGGTTATTAATCTCTAAAAAAATCCTGTGAAAGGTAGATAAACCTCCAGAGGAAGCATACATGATTGATATGGTTTACCTATTGTTGTGGTTTAACCCGTCAGGCAGCTAAACAACACACAGCCATTCGCTCACTACCCCCTGCCCCCAGTGGGATGGGGGAGAGGATGGGGAAAAAAAGTAAAATTTGTGGGTTGAGATAAAGACAGTTTAACAGGACAGAAAAGGAAAGGAAAATAATAATAATAATAATGATGATAAAAGAATATACAAAATAGGTGATGCACAATGCAATTGCTCACCACCTGCTGACCAATGCCCAGCCAGTTCCCGAGCAGTGGTCGCCGCCCCCCAGCCAACTCCCCTCAGTTTGTATGCTGAGCATGACATCGTATCGTATGGAATGTCCCTTTGGCCAGTTTGGGTCAGCTGTCCTGGCTGTGCCCCCTCCCAGCTTCTCGCTGGCAGGGCGTGAGAAGTTGAAAAGTCCTTGACTAGTGTAAGCACTGCTCAGCAACAACTAAACCATGAGTGTGTTATCAACATTATTCTCATCCCGAATCCAAAACACAGCACTGTACCAGCTACTAGGAAGAAAATTAACTCTATCCCAGCCAAAACCAGGACACCTATATTTCAATAACTTAAACTGCACAGTGATAAAAGGATTCAATAGCTGTATAGTCACTTTCCATCACGGAGGGATGTCATCAGTACATTAATTCATATCATTGTAGATGTTAAGAAAAGGAACGTGAATAATTGGGTGACACAGTTACCAAATGATGCTTGGCTAGTCACAGTAGTATGAGTAAAAGCTAACTGAAGAATTGAAGGACCTTTGCTCTTCTCTTTGGAAGATACAAGATCAGATGAAATTAATTGCTGATAAAAGCAAATAATGCATACTATGGGAAGACTACTTAGTTGATCAGGATCTACACTGACAGGCTGGCTAAAAATGTGTAGTGTCAATAGTTGTGAATAATATTTTTAATTGGAGAAATAATACTAATATACCAATGGTTGCTCCATTGAGAACTTTTACTGAAATTTAGAAGATGGAATAAATACCAAAATATTACAGTTTAAATATGATTTTTTACATTTAAGCTACAGTAGATGAAAGGTTAAATGTAAAAAGCAGACAAGTTTTCATGTTGTGACTAGGTTATTAAAGTTGCCTTATAGAAAGAAAAAAGAGTAAATATGTAACACTGTCTGCTGTCCTTGTTCAGCCAATTAGAGAAATAGACTGTTTTCTACGCTGGTTACAAGTGTTAAAGAAGTCATTTTCCTTGAGAACTTCATATTTTTTTCAGAAGGAAAGAGAAAGTATCTACGTGGTCTACCCACTTTATTTTTAGGATGAGCCAAGTAAGCATTTGTGTAGCTGTTTCCAGTATACGTATTTTTCATACATCTGAGTTTTTTCATGCTTTGTTTAATGTTCTTGTTTGTGTACTTTCTTGTATCTATCAAAATAGTAGCTCAGTGGGTTTCTTACTGATTTTGATGAAGTTTCAGCAAAGAAATGGGCAACGAGTCCATCTTGTTATATCACATAATGTACAGTACTTCTACTGAATGTGCAAGCAGATAAGACTGAATTTCAATACTCATTTGGCCATGAGTTAAAATTCAAGTGAAGCCTGTGTAGTTATATTTTACTGTGTGTTGAAAATGTGTAGGTTTTACTATGCTGTCACTTTCCAGTTTAGCTTAATAGGTTGAAAAGATCTATGGGAAAATATTTTCAGGCTCAATTTTCATGATCATTTT